GTTAATTCATTAATAAGATTTAAACTAGTTCATCAAACATGTTCATATTCATAAAGATTGTTGGATTGTTATTGAAACAGGTTGTAATCGGTAGTGAAACATTGTAATAATAACTATGACAAAGAAGTTTAATGTGATAGTAATGAACCTGTTTCATTTGATACTAGAAAATATGTACAAATGCTAGTGAAAATGTTTCATATAATATCTAGCAGTGAACCTGTTTCATTTATTAAACAGGAGTGAACCATTTTCATGTAATATACATCAGGGAACCAGTAGGTACATACACTATCATTTTGTCTTAATGGACCTGTTTCATTTGATATTAGTGAGTAGGTACAAATGCTAGTGAACTTGATATTTATTGAAACTGTTTCATAAGGCACCCAACTAAGTTTAAAAACAACTCTTTCATAGAAGTTTCATAATAAATCTGTTGTAGAAGTTTCATGTGAAACAAGTGAAAACATTTTTTTGCCGTTTTTACAAGTGCCAAAAAAATTGACACAGTTTCATACATTTCGCAGCTCATTACATGTACTAATACCATATAAATTTTATTCGCTTACTCTTTACGAAACGTTTATAAATAAATCTATTAAGGTAGATAAGTACCTCTTTTTCAACCTCCCTTGTCACATCAAACAATTGAGCTGATCCTAGTCCTCCATTTGCTATTTCCCAAGCTTCACGCTTTTTTAACATGTCTAAGCTCCATCCCCTTGTTGCTGGCCTCGTGTGTTCAAGTACTTCATTCGGCTATATTGTTGACTCCACATATAGTAACTGATTAAAATGTAAAGTCAATGAGGTTTATAATTCGTGGTAAAAGAAGTTTATGTGAAAAAATGAATTAGATAAACTTACAGTCAAATAAGTAAGTGGCCCGGCGTAGAAACATACATCACTTGATCTGCTCCAAYTGTCCTTACTGGTTTTCAACATATCGTAAATGAATTTGCACCAGTCTATCTCAGGTATCATTTTCAAATCCTTGATTGAAGACAGGAAACTAAGATTGCAACACCCCATGCGGTTACAATCTACCATCAAGTTAACGAACAATACCAAGAAGTTGATTTGGAATGCACCAGATGCATCTCCAGAATCTTTGATTAGTTTCATAACATCCTTTGGTCTCATCTTCTTCTTATCAAATTGCTTCCTAAATATGCCATTAAGATTTGGCTCGGATTTGTCTTGTTGTGTACTTAGTATATCAATGCCCCCAGTCGGTAATCCCAGTAATTCATGAATTGAGGCTATTGTAATCGGAATTGAACCATGACAAACATTAAGCCTCATGGTCATAGTGTCTAGGTTGTCTACAACATAGAAACCCAAACGATATGGGACACCGTCTACTT